GGTTTAGGGTTCAGGGGGTTTTGGGGTTTTGGGTTATGGGGTTTAGGGTTTGGGGGGGTTGGGGTTTGGGGTTTGGGGTTTGGGGCTTAGGGTCTAGGTTTATCGTACGCAGTTGCAGGACTTGCTGTATAAGAGTGGTGTTAAACACTCATACCATAAGTATGATCAACTGGATGGCTAGGTAAAGCCTAAATCCCTACGGTGTGGGCGATAGGTTGTGTGACTGCATTCGGCTTGGCCAGTCCTCAAAACGCGGATTCGACTCTGCCGAGCAACCATCCCAACGCTTCCATGCAATTTTATAGGAAAAGGTTTAGGGTTTAGGGTAGCCATGCAGTGAATACTTGGGTCCTAAAGTAGTGATATGGGAACCTCTCTGAGTCTTACGTATATATTATACAGCTACATGGACCCTTTGGGAATGTTAGATTGTAGAATTGCTCTTGTGAGGCATCCAAAGGCTGGACCACGATCCCTTACAGTACTGCACTCGTTCAAACTAACGGAGAACCTCATGGAACCACTTTTTCAAGAGCAGCAATCTTTCTGGGTCTTCTTCTTTGGAGTCCGGGGATGATACATCGGATGCTCGCAGTTTCCCCGCCATAGGAGTATCGTTCACAGCCAATGGAGCCCTCATAGCTCCTCCGTCGCAGGGACGACGCCCGCCGGACAGACAATCACATCAGGATGGGGGACGAATAGGCAAACGCATTCCCGCCGTGCTTCCTCTCTTCCATCGGCATCGCTTACAGCAACCCTTGGTACTTGTGGCGTATACCGAACAGGGTGCTATAGCCAGGTTGCTGATGATCCTAGCGTGTAGGGCCTCCACTCTAGACCCTAAACCCAGACCCCGAAGCCTGGACCCTACATCCCCAAACCTTGTAGACCCTAAGCCCTGAACCCTACACAAAGGATGCTAAGTACCTATATGGTATGAACTCGGGTTTCTATACTAGGAATTCGGAATATGATTTGGGTTAGTACCCCTCATGCAGGTACTTAGGACCCTTTTGACCTAAACTGTACAGTATGTAGTCCCCCTTAAGAAGATAAAATATGGCTTTGGATATATAAAAAGATCCTTATATACCCCCATATTCTATCTACCGAAGGGGGGATTATAACCCCTAAACCCTAAACCCTATAACCCTAAACCCTAAACCCTAGAACCCTAAACCCTAAACCCTAAACCCATAACCCCTTGAGAGGCTGGGCTTGATCGCACGCCACTGCCGGAGCCGCCAGCCGCGCCGCGCCAACACTATGGCGGTTTAGGGGTTTAGGGGCTTAGGGGTTTAGGGTTTAGGGGTTCAGGGCTTTCTGGCTTTAGGGCATAAGCTATAGATTTTAGGGTTTAGGGTTTAGGGCTTTACTTGGACCCCAAAAAGTATGTAGAATAATGGCCTTTTGGGCTATATTTAGGTGTTTTGGGCCATTATTTTACTGACTTTGGGGGCTTTAGGGCTCTAGGGCTTACGCTTTAAAGTTTAGGGTTTATGGGCTTATAGGGGTTAGGAGTTTAAGGGCTCAAGGGTTTAAGAGTTTAGGGTTTAGGGCTTTCGGGTTTAGTGTTTCGGGTGCAGGCTATGCCCGTCATCAGAGCGGTGCAGGCGGGCGTTGATCTAGAAGTCCCCAAAGGAAATAGGGTTCATGTAGGTCTATGAGGTAAAATGTAGAGAAGATGGTTTTTCCTACTCTTTCCCTAATGGTCCTGTTGGGAGCAGGAATTTTGATCCACGACCAAGTAACCAACTAGGGTCCCTTTGAGATGGTGATTGGGACATGTATCCTCAGGGTCCACGAGCCCAAAATCATGGGGTTTTAGCGCCCAAACACCATTATAAGATAGAGTGTCTTTGAAATGGTTTAGGGTTTAGGGGATATATACATGTATACATAGCGGCATATACGGATGTACAGGGCGGCATCTAGGGATAGAGCGTAATACACCGAGCCCAAGTACCCAATACTTAGCTAGTTCGGGTCTGGGTTATGATAGTATTCATAGGACAGAATTTGAGTAAGTATCTGATTACTAGGTACTTGGGCCTTAGGGTTTTTTGGGTTTAGGGTTTAGGGTAACAAAGAAAAGAAAGCAATAGTTTAGGGCTTTGGGTTTAGAGTTGACGCGTCCTAGTGGGCTGCCACTTGCAAGGGCACGACTTAAACCATAAGTTAACGGAGTAACAGACACATTTCAGACATAGAATGTTTCTAGAAATCTGGGACCTTCCAGCAGGCGTACGTCTCTATGCTAAAGGCTAGCACCTAAGCCCTGAACCCTTACACCTTCAAAATCCTACATCCCCCAATCTCCAAAAACCCTCGCACTTAAGGGTTTAGGGCTCCGCGTCCTAATCTCCAAAAAACTGAATTGTGGACACATTTTTCCTAACTAGGTCAACAAATGAACCCGAACCTCTGAACTTTACACCCCAAAATTCGGCTAAACTTGCGCGATTTCTAAACCCTAAACCCAAAACACCTAGAATATTCACCCCCCCCTTCCTCAGAACAGGCAAACAGCCTCGAAGAACATGCAAAGCACGGAGCAGGGCACAGCCCATAAAAAACTCAGGCTCAAAGCAGTACACCCGGATACCAATGGTGAATTACGGTTTAGGGTTTAGGGTTTGGGGTTTAGGGTTTGGGGATACCAATGGTGAATTAGATCTGTTATGATGTTCCCAAGGGGTCCTAGGTACCTATATGTGTTATGAAGTATCGTTTCTATACTAGGAATTAGTAATATGGTTTGGGATAGCATCCCCTAGAAGGGTGCTCTGGATCCTGTTGGGTTCTGCTGGAACTGAACCTGAAGCCCCCCCAAGCCTCAATCCCTAAACCCTCCCTACATTGCCCCCGTTTGCCGTTTGGATCCCCTGAGCGCCTGCGGCCCTTAGACCTGCAGCCGGCTAAGGGACCTAGAAGCTTGAAGGTATGGCTAAGCTGGGTTGCTGTTACCCTAAGGCTCAAAATAAACCAAAAGCCTTGTATACATTATGGTCTTTGGGCCCAAAAGCCTTATATCATGTGTCCTTAGAGCCTTCGGGCTAAGGAAATGAAGCTACGTGACTACAATAAGGAAGCCCGGTTCTTTACTAAATACCCACATTATTACCTAGAGCGTCCATGTACGCAATAATTAGGTACTTGGGATTTGGGTAATAGGAATTATAGTTCAGGTTTGGGGTAAGTATACAACTATTGGGTACTTGGACCCTTAGTGTTATGCTAACTTGAAATTACATTCCGTAACAGCAACCCCTAAACCCTAAACGGAGGTTTAGGGTCAAGGCTGCTGAGCTCAGGCCCCTAAGCTCGCAACCGAAATCCTAAACCCATGAAGTCTGAACCTTTCGACGTAGATGGCTTTAGGGTTTAGGGAACCTTAAACCCTAAACCCTGACATTTCACACTTCTAAGCCCCAAAACACCCAAACTCTTCGTGTTTGGGTTTAGGGTTAGCCCTAAACTTAAACTGTCTGAGCAAAGTCTAAAGAAGCGACCCGATGTCACCTCCGACGCTAGTTTACGGCGGGACTGGCTTCAACATGGTCTTGCTTTGGGATTTGGATTTCAGGGTTTAGGGTTTATTTTTTCGGTTGAACCCTGACCCTAAGGGTCCAAGGACTCAAATTTATATGGTCGCCGTATGGTTTTAGGGCTCAAATATTATACCATTGGTGGTATTTGGGCCCTGAAGCCCTATTATTTGGGCTTGGACCCTTAGGGTGAACCCCAAACCCTGAAGGTGTGATTATCTGGGCTTTGGGCTTTGGGTTTCCCCTAGTCAGCCATTCTACAATACATCCTAATTCCAGAGACAATAGGTAGCTACACGCGTTGAGGTTAGCAACCCTAAGCCCTGAACCACATTTGAGTAGTATTTTATCTGGGGATACTATGGTACCCAATATAGAGTAAGATTATATCCTCCTTTTGGGTATAGTATTTTTATAGAAGGAATCTTACTAGGTTCAACCACCAAAAAGACATTACCCGTTTATGGTCTACTTGTAGGACTTTTGGCCTTCCTGATACCCCTAAGCCTTGGACCAGTGAACCTTGAAGCAGCCTGGGGGTCCAAGTACCTAATTGTTAACGCTAGCGCGCGCCCGCCTCGGCTGGCGGGGCTTCCCACTGTAGGAACATGTAATTATAGATATACAGGTATTTAAGTTAGGTATATAGATACAGTCACATGCCTATTACATACACAATAAAACCCTAGAAGTCCAACTGGGGACGCGCAAGTAGGACCCAGGAAACCGGTGGGAAAATGTTCGGGGCCAGCGTTCGGACCTTGGGTTTAGGCTTCCGTCTTGCG